AGATCACTAATCATGGCAACCATCCTATAACCAGGATACCGATCTAACCGATCTCTAGCATAGCAACCATCCTAAACCAGGATGAAACCTAACATAGCAACCATCCTAAACCAGGATGAATTCTAGCATAGCAACCATCCTAACCAGGGTGTAATCTAACATAGCAATAACATAACGACCATCCTAACCCAGGATGTAAATCATAAAGAACCGGCTTTGGTGCCGTAGACCCTGTTGATATAGTGAGGATAACTCACCTCGCAAGTAGTGCTGAAATACTGTAATTCTCTGACTGTTGTCTCACCGGGAATCCCGAACTGACACATAATAATAAATACTAAGTTAATACCCAACATTACTCCCTTGACTAAGTGTCCTCATAACTCATTAAGTCCATTTCCTTTTGTTGGCCAAAGTCCCACACCAAGCCCTCAATTTGGAAGTTCATATACATAAGTCCACTATTGGCCCAATTTACTAAATTGTGCCCAAACTCCTTATTGGGCCTAAACCCATGATCCACTACCACTAACTGGCCCAAAACATCTTATTCACTAAGTCCAGCAAAGGCCCAAGTCCCTTTAACCCATAAACAACCCAATACCCAAAGCCCAAATATCCAAGGCCCAACAGAGGACATACGCGGGGTGTACTCCTCTGGTACGTTGGGCGTACGCGACCAGATGTTGACCACCGTCGGGGTGGTTGACCCAGTACGCTGGGCGTACTGGATTTACGGTGGGCATAATCCATATCTTGACAAATCTTTATTAAGTGCTTAATGGCTTAAGCACTTAAGTCCTAATCTCAGATCCAGAGGCCTAACATGTCCAGGGTCCATAAAGTCACGAACTTTATCACTTTGGACGTCCATAAAGTCCCAAATGCTTGGTCTTAATCCATTAAGACCTTATTTCTCTTACATGGGACACCTACAGCCCATGGAACCTCATTTTTATTACTCAAAGTCCTTTCAAGAGCCTGGAAGGACAGCTCTTTACGTCCTCAACACAAAATACACCACTTTATGGCTTTTGGGACAAAGAATGCTTCTAATAAAGTAAGATGATGAGATCTAAGCATATAAGCATAAAGTTTGGAACTTTATACCTTTAGGAGCTTCTTGAGCACAAACTAACTTCAGATCTACAAGCTTGGTCTCTTCCTTCAACTCTTTGATGCAATGGTTTCCTCTTAAGGCCCTCAAGAACACACCAAAATGAGCTTAACACACAAAAGGGAGGCTAGGGTTTAAGAGAGACGAGTTTGATCTGTGGAGGCTGAGGTAAAAGGGTGTTAGTGCACATTATGTTCCTTATATAGGCCCCAAACCCTAAATATTAGGGTTTCACCCAGACATCAGTACGCCTAACTTACACAAGTGTACGCCCAGCGTACTAAGGCGGTCCTTAATACGCCTAGCGTACTCCTATGTACGCGCAGTGTACCCGCTTTATGGCCCAAATTTGCAAACTTAGCCCTTTAACTTGTCTTGGCTCTCCATTCCCAATCCCAATGGCTATAATCGACAAAGCAAAGAAAGAATAGGGTTCAGAAATACCTGCAGAAATCTCGAGGTGCTACAAGTGCAGTGAGAGGCTTGGCCGTTTTGGAGAAATTTTCGATAAACATACGATAGTAACCAGCAAGTCCAAAAAATTGGTGCACTTCTATCGGTGTTCTCGGTGCCTCCCAATTCTTGATTGCTTCAATTTTTGTGGGATCCATGTGTATCGGTCTATTGCTAACAACATGCCCTAGGAAATGCATTCTATTATCCAAAATTCACATGTGGAAAACTTTGCATATAATTTTTCCTTTCTCAACAGTTCCAAAATCAATCATAGATGTTGGCCGTGTTTCTCCTTTGTTTGTGAGTGTATCAAGATGTTGTCAATGAATACAATCGCAAACTTATCCAAGTAAGGTTTACAAACACGATTCATTAGATCCATGAATACTGTTAGGGCATTCGTTAGGCCGAAAGGCATGACAATAAATTCGTAATGACCATACCGAGTTCTGAATGCGGTCTTTGGTATGTCTGCTTCCAATACCTTGATTTGGTGATATCCAGACCTCTGGTCAATCTTGGAGTAGTAGCTAGACCCTTGCAGTTGATCAAACAAATCATCGATTCTAGAGAGTGGGTATCGGTTCTTTATCGTCAACTTATTTAGTTCTCGGTAATCGATACACATTCGAAATGATCCGTCCTTCTTCCTGACAAATAGCATTGGGGCTCCCTAAGGTGAGAAACTTGGTCTTATGAAACCCTTGTCCAAAAGTTCTTGCAATTGGCTTGAAAGTTCTTGCATCTCGGAGGGAGCCAATCTATAGGGTGACTTAGCTACTGGTGCGGCGCCATGGATTAGGTCGATTCTAAACTCGACTTATCGGTTCGGGGGTAATCCAGGTATATCCTCGGGAAAGACATCAGGAAAATCACATACCTGAGGTATGTCCTTCAATTCCTTTGTTTCACTCTTCTTATCCACTATGTGAGCCAGAAAGGCGTAACATTTCTTATGTAGATATTTCTACGCCTTCGTGCAAGAAATGAGTTTAAGGTTTTTCCCTTATTTAACCCCATAGATGGTTAGGATCTCTCCGTTGGGTAGGGTTAATCGTACGGCCTTCTCATAACACAAAATCTCGACGTGGTGAGGAGCAAGCCAATCCATTTCTATGATAATGTCGAAACTTCCTATAGGAATAGTCAAGAGATCTATGTGAAAAGTGTGGTCGTTTAGAGTTAACAAGCAATCTCTTAGGATTTCAGTAGTGCTTTCTATCTGACCATTGGCTACTTCTACTTCATATGCTGCTTTTATTTTATTAGACTTGTGATTTAAAAGTTGTTGAAAATACGGAGTTATAAAACTTTTATCGGCACTGGAGTAAAAAAGTATTGTAGCACACAAGTTATTAATAAGGAATGTACCAGTGACCACAAACGGATCTTGAATGATGTCCTTGTTTCCTATCACAAAATCTCTCTCACAGGTGTTCCCATCTTTATTCTTCCCTTTTGGGCAGTTTCGTGAGATATGACATTTCTCTCTACATTCGTAACATGTTCTTTCTTCCCTATTGCCGGCCCTGGTATCGAAATTTCGATTTCCTCCTGTGCTCGTAACTTCCTTACAGTATTTAGCAGTATGTCCCTTCTTGTTGCACCGGGTGTAATGATAACACTCTCCAGTATGGTTTTTATAGCAGACGTTACACTTTGGGAAATTGTTTGTGTAGTTCCCTTGCGGTGCAGGTGTTGTTGTTACGGCTGGAGTTGCCGCATAGACCTTCTTAGTTTCTTGCTTCTTTGGTGGGTTTGATTTTCCTCCAGGAAATTTCCTTTTCTTGTTTGATTCAGATTTGGGGGTTTCAACTCTGGCCTCCATGTTTCCCTGACTAACCTCATTTTTGGTCAGTCGCCTAGCTATATTCGTGGCGCTTTCAAAGGTTGTAGGTCTTGAAGACATGACCATACCCTTGATCTTGGGAGACAAAACCCAAATATAGCATTCCAGTTTCACATGCTCAGGGGTTACTAGAGTTGGACACATCAAGGAAAGGTCGTTAAACCTGGTTGTGTAGGCTTTAATGTTTGAACCTTTCATCTTAAGGTTCCACAGCTCGTTTTCCAGATTCTGGACTTCGTCTCTGGGACAATACTCTTCTATCAGCATGGTTTTCAATTCACTCCAGGTCAAACAGTTGGCAGGGATAGTGCCCAGTGACTTAACTTGGTCGTTCCACCATGTTAGTGTCCCATCCATGAAAGTACAGGCAGCAAAGCGCACCTTGCTATCTTTAGCACAGTAACTGATCTGAAATACAGACTCTATCCTTTAAAACCACCAGGTGAGACCGATCACAGCTTTGTTTCAATAGAAGTACTTGGGCTTGCAGTTCATAAAGTCCTTATAGGTGCAAACCCTTCGAGTCTCGGTAGGGTTAATGTTTTAACTACTTCCGCGCCTAGCCTCGAGTTCTTCTATTTCAACGATGGGGTTTCTTGCATTTGCGCTTCCCGTGTTTGTCATAGCGATCGCAAGACGGTCTGTAATTATTTGTTCCAGGTCTGTTGTTGTCTCTAGGAGTCTCGTCTAAGGGGGTGGTGCAACAACAGTTGGCGTATCCATAACCGGAACTTCCGTTGGCCATGAGTTGGGTCGGCCCCTCCTGGGTAGAGATGTTGTGGATGGAACTTCCATTTCCCACCTTTCAGATTGGGGTCGATTTCTCAGTCGTTCACTCCTCTTTCTTGGCGGCATGATGTTGATCTATTTAGTCATTTTAATAGTAAATGTTTAATCAACCATGTTTTGAATTATTTATAATGTTTTACAAGTATTTCCAAATGAATTCTACCAACTAACACAACAATCATTACGTAACAACACATAATAATATATGCTTCATATATTTCAAAATCTCATTCCAAGGTTTTACATTTGCTTACATTACCATAAAACTACTATACGCTAGGGTCGATAAATTAACATGTTTACAAAAGAATCGACTGCATCAAAATTTGCAACACCACAACGAGTTCCTGCATCCCTTTCCCTTACATCACAATTATATTATCCGAGGGCCCATAGCAACCCATATCCTATTACGTATCCGAAATTTTATACCAAAATTAGCAGTCAGGCCTTCACAAACGAACATCCGCTTCACCCCAAACTAACCCAATCCAAAGTCGTGAGACAATGCATCCAAGATATCTTGGATATGCTCCTCCACGCTCCCCATTCACTCTGACACTCCCCTAGTTATAGCATCAGCCTCGACATCCCTCTGCAATGCCTCCCGGATCTGCCCCTCAGTCTCTAGCCTGTGAATCTCCTCTATGACCATAAAATCGTACATGAACTGAGTCCTGTTCTGATCTCTCTTCATGTCCTCCTGATCCCGTCTCCTCTGGGCTCTCATCTCCTTTATCTTTCAGGCTCTTAGATCATCGTTAGCACCCAAAGTATGTACCTCACCACCTATGGCCTCAACTTTGTGGCTAAGTCGCCGGGTGTGGTCAAACAAGTACGACAATCTATCCTCCTCAGTAGTGGCTGGGGGTTTTGCCTTCGAGCATTGCCTACTTCGAACCGATGGATTCCTCCCTGGTCTCGTACCCATTCATTCACAACGTCGGTTATCCAGGCAGGATCATGCATCCTCATCTCCTGAATCACACGAGGGGCTTCAGGCACAGGGTTCGGTGCAGGCTCAACAGGGGCAGCGTGGTACGGGGGAAAGTTCCCCATGAGACTCGGGAATCCGTGGACTCGCATCCTAGGCTTCTTCTTCTTAACACCTCCGCATGTTGGAATTGTCTTCTGTGCGTGTTTCCGATTGCAAGGTATACCCGAGCCCAGGTAGTAAGAGGTAGGTGGTGGCGATGCAACATGTTCTTCCTCCTCTATAGTCGTCGCTTCTCCCATGGACTCTTATGCCTCGAACTCCATTTCTTCTTCGGGCTCCTGTCCCATATCCTCTGGATCCTCGGAAGGATCCTCCTCTGGCTCGCTATCCCCTATAAGTATCGGCACTTCCACGGCCGGTGGAGCAGGGAAATAGGGATCCCCTGTCAGGTAGTAAGGCGAGTCCACCTCTTGATCGTTCTCGTCCCACTCTTGGCGATTTTTCCTATAAATAATTTTAGTTTTCGTCAGTATTTATTTATTAGCATTTCTACATAGTTTTAATTATTTATGAGTATGTTTTCGTTTTATTCTCATGTTTTTTTCTCATGTTTTTTTCCAGCGTTTAAACAGATAAACTAATTCACTTAGTTTTAATAGTGCGTAGAATCTTACCATAATAAAACGTAGGCACGCAACTAGGTTTAGTTGTGGTACGACCTATATACTAGAGAACCTAATTGATTATTTGACTTATAAACGCTGGAAAAAATGAGAATAAAACGAAAACATACTCATGAATAATTAAAACTATGTAGAACTGCGAATAAATAAATACTGACGACAATTAAAATTATTTATAGGAAAAATCGCCAAGAGTGGGACGAGAACGATCAAGAGGTGGACTCGCCTTACCACCTGCCAGGGGATCCCTATTTCCCTGCTCCACCGGACGTGGAAGTGCCGATACTGATAGGGGATAGCGAGCCAGAGGAGGATCCTACCGAGGATCCAAAGGAGATGGGATAGGAGCTCGAAGAAGAAATGGAGTTCGACGCATACGAGTCCATGGGAGAAGCGGCCCCTATATAGGAAGAAGAACCTGTTGCATCGCCACTTCCTACCTCTTACTACCTGGGCTCGGGCATACCTCGCAATCGGAAACACGCATAGAAAAATTCCCACATGAGGATGTGTTAAGAAAAAGAAGCCTAGGATGCGAGTCCACGGATTCCCGAGTCTCACGGGGAATGTTCCCCCGTACCACGTTGCCCCTGTCGAGCCTGCACCGAACCCTGTGCCTGAAGCCCCTCGTGCGATTCAGGAGATAAGGATGCATGATCCTGCCTGGATAACCGGCGTTGTGAATGAATGGGTCCGAGACTAGGGGAAACCATCGATTTGAAGTAGGGCAATGCTCGAAGGCGAAACCCCCAGCCTCTACTGAGGAGGATAGATTGTCGTACTTGTTTGAGCGCACCCTGCGACTTGGCCATAAAGTTGAAGCCATAGGTGGTGAGGTACATACTTTGGGTGCCAACGATGATCTGCGAGCCAGAAAGATAGAGGAGATGAGAGCCCAGAGGAGACGGGATCAGGAGAACATGAAGAGAGATCGGAACACGACTCAGTTCATGTACGATTTTATGGTCACAGAGGAGATTCACAGGTTAGAGACTGAGGGGCAGATCCGGGAGGCATTGCAGAGGGCCGTCGAGGCAGATGATGTAGCTAGGGGAGTGTCAGAGCGAATGGGGAGTGTGGAGGAGCAGATCCAAGAGATTTTGGATGCATTGTCTCGCGACTTTGGATTGGGTTAGTTTGGGGAGAAGAGGATGTTGGTTAGTGAAGGCATTGGGGCAAGTCATGGGTGACTGCCAATTTTGGTATAAAATTTCGGATACGTAATAGGATATGGGTTGCTATGGCCCTCGGATAATATAACTGTGATGTAAGGGGAAGGGATGCAGGAACTCGTTGTGGTCTTGCAAATTTTGATGCGGTCGATTCTTTTGTAAACATGTTAATTTATCGACCCTAGCGTGTAGTAGTTTTATGGTAATGTAAGCAAATGTAAAACCTTGGAATGATTTTGTGAAATATATGAAGCATATATTATTATGTGTTGTTACGTAAGGATTGTTGTGTTAATTGGTAGAATTCATTCGGAAATACTTGTAAAACATTATAAATAATTAAAAACATGGTTGATTAAACACTTACAATTAAAATGACTAAATAGATCAACACCATGCCGCCAAGAAAGAGGAGTGAACGACTAAGAAATCGACCCCAATCCGAAAGGTTGGAAACGACAGTTCCACCCACAACATCTCGACCCAGGAGGGGCCGACCCAAGTCACGGCCAACGGAAGTTCCGGTTGTGGATAGGCCGGCTGTTGTTGCACCACCCCCTGATACGGGAATCCCACAGACAACAACAGAGCTGAAACAAATAATTGCAGACCGTCTTGCGATCGTTATGACAAACACGGGAAGTGTAAATGCAAGAAACCCCGTCGTTGAAATTGAAGAACTCGAGGCTAGGCGCGAAAGTAGTTCAAACATTAACCCTACCGAGACTCGAAGGGTTTGCACCTATAAGGACTTTATGAACTGCAAGCACAAGTACTTCTATGGAAACGAGGGTGTGATCTATCTCACCCGGTGGTTAGAAAGGATAGAGTCTGTATTTCAGATCAGTTATTGTGCTGAAGGTAGTAAGGTGCGCTTTGTTGACTGTACTTTCATGGATGCGACACTAACATGGTGGAACGACCAAGTTAAGTCATTGGGCACTATCCCTGCTAACTCTTTGATCTGGAGTGAATTGAAAATCATGCTGATAGAAGAGTATTGTCCCAGAGACAAAGTCCAGAATCTGGAAAACGAACAATAGAACCTTAAGATGAAAGGTTCAGACATTAAAGCCTACACAACCAGGTTTAACGACCTTTCCATGTTGTGTCCAACTCTAGTAACCCCTGAGCATGTGAAAGTGGAACGCTATATTTGGGGTCTGTCTCTCAAGATCAAGGGTATGGTCATGTCTTCAAGACCTACAGCCTTTGAAAGCGCCAAGAATATGGCTAAACGACTGACCAACAATGAGGTTAGTCAGGGAAACATGGAGGCCAAAGTTGAAACCCCCAAGTCTGAATCAATCAAGAAAAGGAAATTTCCTGTAGGAAAATCAAACCCACCAAAGAAGCAAGAAACTAAGAAGGTCTATGCAGCAACTCCAGTCGTAACAACAACACCTGCACCGCAAGGGAACTACACAAACAATTACCCAAAGTGTAACGTCTGCTATACAAACCATACTGGAGAGTGTTACCATTGCACCCGGTGCAACAAGAAAGGACATATTGCAAATTACTGTAAGGATGTTACAAGCACAGGAGGAAATCGAAATTTCGGTACCAGGGCCGGCAATAGGAAACAGGGACGTCATTCAGGATCTGTCTGTGGTCACTGGTACGTTCCTTATTAATAACTTGTATGCTACAATACTTTTTGACTCCGTTGCCGATAAAAGTTTTATAACTTTGTCTTTTCAACAACTTTTAAATCACGATTCTAATAAAATAGAAGCAGCATATGAAGTAGAAGTAGCGAATGGTCAGATAGAAAGCACTACCGAAATCCTAAGATATTGCTTGTTAAGGCTAAACAACCACACTTTCACATAGATCTCTTGACTATTCCTATAGGAAGTTTCGACATTATCATAGAAATGGATTGTCTTGCTCCTCACCACTCCGAGATTTTGTGTTATGAGAAGGTCGTACGATTAACCTTGCCCAACGGAGAGATCCTAACCATCTATGGGGATAAATCGGGGAAAAACCTTAAACTCATTTCTTGCATGAAGGCGCAGAAATATCTACATAAGAAATATTACGCCTTTTTGGCTCACATAGTGGATAAGAAGAGTGAAACAAAGGAATTGAAGGACATACATCAGGTATGTGATTTTCCCGATGTCTTTCCCGAGGATATACCTGGATTACCCCCGAACCGACAAGTCGAGTTTAGAATCGACCTAATCCCAGGCACAACGTCAACCAGTAATCACAGTTATTGAACAGTACAAATATAATCTTTTATTATTACCGAAATGGAAATTTACGTTGACAATAGTTATTGTTGAAACACTACACAGGCCTAACAATCCGACATTCACAATTGTATGATAAAAATATCAGGGGATCTTCTATACGAACACTTCCGACCTTATAAATAACCTGATAATACATGCATTAAAATACGTCAACAAAATTGTTGGTGGGTTCTACAGGTTTTGACACAAAGTATGTTTTTACTCAAAAATGTTTATAAAATTTATCTGGTTGACCAACTTTTATAAACACGTACTTTTCGATCCAAAGTATAAAATAATTTAGTCATAAAAGTATATTTAAACTCATTTAGAAATGTCATTTGCTCAACTCCAAAAATACACCATTTATAAAATATATAAGTAAACCAAACTTATAACAAATTTTTACGGTTCCCATTTCCAAAATGATTTTTATATAAAGATTTTGAATACCAATTTATATAAAATAAAGTCATATCACACTTTGTGAAAACATAAAGTAGCCAAGCTTACTCTTGAAACCTTGTACAAGCATTTGTATAGTTTATATGTAAAACTTTTAATTTTCGAATTTTATAAACTTTGTAAATCCGTGTCGTATTATTAATTAAGCATTAACTTAATTTGGAAATCGACACTTAACCAGTGGGGAAAATTCATCCCAAAATACTTTTCAACAACCGGTAAATTATAAACGCATATTTTTACCACTCGTATAATTTCAACGACAATTATTAATCATTCTCTTTACAATTCTATTATTTGAAACGCCTCTGCTTACGAAGAATTTGTCGTGCGGAGATGTAGTTATCAACCTAAACACTCTTACACACTCGACCCAAATTGGGAGGATTGACTCCATCTAGACCTATACTTCTTGGAGTAAAAATCTTCAATATAACAATTTGTCTATAACCGATACTATACGCCGCTCCTCCACAACCCACGCAGGCACAATATAACAAGCCACACAAGCAAAACAAACGAGCCACACATGCACAATATAAATAAAGATGGAGGAATCGAGATCATTACTAACGTTTAACAATAGTTGTATAGTAAAGAAGAAAGAAACACTTGACGCCTGTTGTCTTGTAAGACGAAGTTGTAGCTAGCAACCACAGACGGGGAAACTACGTCATCCTGCATAAATCATTCCATAAGAAATAGATATATACCACCGTTCTTTATTATAAAT